GGAAAAATAATATCTCATTAACAAATAGGACACCCAGGCTTAGATCAAAATAATATCTCATTAAGCCAAAGAACAAACAAAACCAATAAATAAATACATAAAGTGTAAGCTTCGCTCCCAATCAGCAACCCCCAACGTGGTTTCACACGGGCCAAATCGCTTCTTGGCCTTCCAACCCTTACCCAACTCCGATGCAGTGCTGGATTTTTACAGATTCGTTCCTTACATTTTTACCATTTTCAAATCAGCCCTTCAACCGAAGAAAATATGCCATTTTGGCCCCTCGATTGATTTACTTATTTCAAGATAGTCCTCCCAATCACCAAAACTTAAAGGACTGCTCTAAAGAAAAAACAGCCCACGGGCTACTTTTAAAGGACTAGTTTAAAAATGCGGAAGTTGTAAGGGATCGACATCTAAAGGAACCCCCCCATACAATAATGCCATAATCCACATCCGTTATGGGCCCTCGCTCACTACCCCAAAAAAAGCCCGTCAAACTCGTATTTGTAACCCAAAATACCCGCCCTCCACCCTCGAAAATAGAGAGCCCACCGAATCCATCCATTTTTCTCATTCGTTTCCTAATGAAGCAACCCCTATGTCAAGCCATCGACAGGCCACCCAATTCGGGTCTGACCTGCTACGGATCGACGACCGGCTCCTCCTCGCCAGCATCGCCGACTTCCGTCATCAACGAAGCCGGCGGCGTCAGCTGCTTCCACCCCGCGTCGGACCCAGACCGCGGCCCCGACCCGCTCGGGGAGCCACAGATGACCGCTTCTCACCCAGAGCTGCACAGCTCGACGAGCGTCGTGCGGCCCAGCGGGTCCACAGGCCGGGGGCTTACCGTGGGTGAGATTCCGGGTGCGGAGTCGGAGGTGCCGGCGCTGCGGCTGTCGCGGGAGGGGGAGTGGGGCCACCTGATTGAGGCATAGCACTACCGGCGGATTTTTTCTGCAGCTCTTGGTTGATAACAACGGTCGGTCTCTCTCTCTCTCTCTCTCTCTCTCTCTCTCTTCTTTTTTAAAAAATAAATAAATTCACACATATTTCTTTGTTATCTAGTTCTTCTTAGCGTCGTTTTATAAAAACCATTTTTGATTTTCTAAATTATAACAAATTGCTTTTCAAAATGGTTAAATTTTTTTTCCCGTAATTAATCTCATCTGGTGTGGCATCTATTAAAGATCATATCTTTAATACACTTGATATTTACCGAGAAAAATCCTTACGAAATTGTCATATTTGTGATTTACATCCCTAAATCCATTAATTTGTTCCAAGTAACACCCTCATTTCAATCACATACACGAAGATTTGTGGGTATGATATACACACATAGAAATATAATAAAATCTAGCTAGTGTGTAATGCGATGACTTTTTTTATTCTATTTGCTTCTTTTTTTTCTTTTTTTTTTTTGAAAAAGTATTCTATTTGCTTTTGAGAGTGCGTGCGTATGGTAAAAGTGAGGGTATCATTAGCCAGTACCCGATAAAGTTGCTTTTAATTTCCCAAAAAGTTAACTGAAAACTGCCTTTTGTGGCAACGGAAAGGGGGAAACCGCGTACGGCGGCGGTTTTCCGTTTCAAGGAACGAGCCCGATATTTCCCAACTGCGACGCGGGCCCCGCTGATCTGGGTGCGGCAGTGGGTGCAGGGTGGCAACTAATGTCAATACAGACCACCAAGCCGGGGCGCCCTCGGTACCGCAGCTGTCCCCGCCTACGTGTTCCTTGGGATTTACTATACTACCCTCGATCGATGCGGCCTCGGTTCGTTCGGCGGGGGGCAATTTGGAAAGTTTACCAATGATGAGATGCGCACCGATAATGATGGTCCACTCAGAAAACGTGAGCTGTTGATTGCTTACTACTGCGGGGGTGGGGTGGGGTGGGGGCCACGTAATTGGGTCCAAGTTCAATGAATGAATTTGATATTTATTTATCTACTTTTTATGAGGCTTGTGGATAAATAATGGGCATTTTTCTTGTCTGCCACGTTGCCCGTGCCCTCATCGTGTAGTGTTTAACTAGGGGTGGGGATCGAGACCGGGTTAATCTGAACTTGGGTCTTAGTTTAGGTTAAGGGGGTGTCTGTTTCAAATCCTATCTATAATTTTAGGATATGGGTTTCGCTATGGGATTTGAAATCCATAGGTGTTATGTTCTGGGTTGGGTTTTCTAAAATGTTGTTTGTTTCATTAATATTTTGGGATTTGGGATACTGCAATTTGTAATATTTTGTTTGTTTTAAACTCAAATTGTAACATTACCGAATGTCAAAATTTTGTAATATGATGAATATGCTATATTGGTGAGGTTACCTCCCAAAAAAAGACAAAATTGAGATTTGTCAAATCCTCTCCAATTGAGAGGTAAGCACACTTATTTATGGGATTTGTCAAAATCCTCTCCAATTGAGAGGATTTGGCAAATTCTAAAAATTGGACACTTTTTGCACTTTTACGATTCAATATTCTAAAATTTTTCTTAAAACAAACACCAAATACGGAATCCCAAAATAAATAAAAAAAAACTCACTTTTTGATTCCAAAACTTGTAATCCATACCAAATGCCAAAATTTTTGGTGAAACAAACACCCCCTAAAGAGAAATTGTAGTTTGAAGTTTAGATCTAACCTTAATTTGGGTTTTAATCAATGCTTAAGAGGTTCCTATTTGTTTGCCCCTGAAAAACAATCATACACAGAGTAACTTATACACACCGTTTTTAAAGGTATTTTGTACGGACACAGTAGCTTGTTGGTATTCATATTTCAAAAGGTAAATTTCACAAAGCCCCCTCTTCAAATTTCGGGGTTTCA